ACTAGGGAGGCTAAGGCAGGAGAATCGCCTGAACCCGGGAGGTGGAGGTTGTGGTGAGCCTAGATCACGCCATTGCACTACAGCCTGGGCAACAAGAGTGAAACTTCGTCTCAAAAAATAATAATAATAATCAAAATAATAGGCCAGGAGTGGTGGCTCATGTCTATAATCCCAGCACTTTGGGAGGCCAAGGCAGGTAGATTACCTGAGATCAGGAATTCGAGACCAGCCTGGCCAACGTGGTGAAACCCTGTCTCTGCTAAAAATACATAAATTAGCCAGTAATCCCAGCTACTTGGGAGGCTGAGGCAGGAAAATCACTTGAACCCGGGAGACAGAGGCTGCAGTAAGCCGAGATAGTGCCACTGCACTCCAGCCTGGGTGATAGAGCGAGACTCCGTCTCAAAATAAATAATAAATAAAATTAATAAATAATGAAACCTGCACATCCTGCACATGTACCCCTGAACTTAAAAGATGGGGGAAAAAAAAAATCTGGCTGGGCATGGTAGCTCACACCAATAATCCCAGCACTTTGGAAAGCCAAGGCAGGAGGATCACTTGAGCCCAAGAGTTCTAGACCAGCCTGAGAAACATAGGGAGACTATCTCTGTAACACGTGTTTTTTTTTTTTAATTAGCCTGGTGTTGTGGTACACACCTGTGGACCCAGCTACTCTGGAGGCTGAGGTGGGGGTATTGCTTAAGCCTGGGAGGTCGAGGCTGCAGTGAGCCATGATTGTGCCACTGCACTTTCCAGCCTGGGCAACAGAGCAAGACCTAGTTCCCTCGCCAAAAAAACTAAGTATTATTCAGCTATTTTAGCGGAGAGAAAACATCCTCCAGAACAGTGAAGTATAAATTTCCTCCTATCTGTATCCTTACAAAACCACCAGTGGGCCAGGCCCAGCAGTTCATGCATGTAATCCCAGCACTTTGAGAGGCCAAGGTGAGAGATTACTTGAGGCCTAGAGTTCAAAACCAGCCTGGGCAACATAGCAAGACTCCATCTCTATTCAAAAGAAAAATCCACCACTGAAAACAGGAGATGGCAAGACACTGCCCAGATCATTTGCTAAAGCCTATTTACAAAGGTTTCTATGCCAACATTTTCACCAATTAATAAATGTGATGCAACTTAAAAAACTATATACTAGGCCAGGCCTGATAGCTCACACCTATAATCCCAGCACTTTGCAAGGATGAGGCAGGAGGCTCACTTGAGCCCGTGATTTTGAGGCTGCAGTGAGCCATGATCACACCACTGCACTCCAGCCTGGGTGGCAAAGCAAACTTTGTCTCCAAAAAAAAAAAAAGTTATATACATACACACATACACACACACACACACACACACACACAAAATGACACACATATATACACTAAAACCAAACACCAGTGTTTGGTTTCAGTTAGTATCACTTATTTTACTCCCATCAAAACTACAAGGAAGATAAATGGACAAGCAAAAGGCTTCAGGTAAGAAAAAGCATGTCTGCACCTCATTATGAAAAACACAAGACTTAAACATTTTTTTAATCAGAGAAAAACAACTTACTAGCATGCTTATCTGCGAGCATTATAAGCGTGTTGGAAATATCACGTCGTCTATAAAAGCATACTACTTTTGCTTCCACGTTGCCACTTGCAGTCTAAGAGATAAGAAAAATAAAAGTCATTTGTACTGAATATTAGAGTCAAATAATTTATAAAACAAAACAAGATACAGCACAATTATATGATCGTGCTCATTAATACTGGTGCCAACTACAACTGCAGGATAACCACAGAGCTAAAAAATTCAAATAAGGATGAGCAACATTTGTTCTGCTTCCAAGCACAACTGGAATGTCAAACATATAATAATACTGGCATTAACTAAACTAAACTGATTAGACCCTTTAATGATTAAAGCCAGACACAGTTAACACTGATTAGCTTTAAGAAACTAATCCCCCCCACTGCTTCAATTAACTAGCCTTAAAAAAAAAAAAAAAAGAAAAAGAAACTAATCCCCCCGGTTTTTAAAGCCACAACTGACGGAAATAATTTATTTCAGTCATGTAAACATACCTTGTCCAAACCCATTCCCAGAAAGCAAAAGCTAAGTGTAAAATCACCAAGCCCTCCCCTAAGTATCCCATGTTCCATGGACAGTGAAGCTCTGCAGGTGGGAAGCAGCCATAATACCGAATAGACCAGGTGACCTGGAAAGGCATTCTCTAGCCCAAGGAAGTCTACGAATCTCTTAAGAGTCAATATTCTAAAGCAGTACTTAGTTTACCTCCACAACTAAACATATTAAAAACCTTGAGTTATGAACACTGAAACTCTCATTTCTTTTTGGCTAGTCTACAATGCAATCAATATTCAGTTAGGTTCTTCCAAAGTATGATGGCTTCAAAAAAAATTCAGTTATGCTATCATTTACTGCAGCTGGGACCCAGGCTCCTGCTCTCCTATTCTCTAGAATTCTGAGAGCTCTCAAGAAGGTCAATCATTCATTACAAAGTTCCCTGTAAAAACACACAGATCATAATAAAATGCTATTGTGATTTCCATTTTCAAATAAATGTGAGAACAAATTTTCAGAAATTTATCTGGTCTTACAGATATACTCAAATACAAAGAAGAATATATAAGTTCTGCAGTAAATGTGTCAATTTTATGAAGTTCACCAGCAGTATTTTAGATTAAAAAATAGTCCTGTGGAAACAGTGCCCCTTAAAATTGAAATCATATTAAATTTCTAACCAAAGTGCTTCTATATTTCATAATACTGTGATCAAATACATTCTCCAGAAATAATGATCCAGCAGTCTGCTAAATGAACAGGCCAGGATTTCCATGTAAATAAAATAAAATCTATCAGTGACTTCAAATATAAGCTCTTAGTCATTTCTGTCTTCTTGAGATTTTGTCTTTTTGAGATATGCCTTGAAACTGTTGCTTTGGATTTTCAATGTGATTTTTGTCTCTTCTTGAGACATTAAAAATCCAGGCTGGGCGCGGTGGCTTACGCCTGTAATCCCAACACTTTGGGAGGCCAAGGCAGGGGGATCACGAGGTCAGGAGTTCTAGACCAGCCTGGCCAACATAGTAAAACCCCGTCTCTACTAAAAATACAAAAATTAGCCAGGTGTGGTGGCACACACCTGTAGTCGCAGCTACTCAGGAGGCTGAGGCAGAAGAATTGCTTGAACCTGGAAAGTGGAGGTTGCAGTGAGCCAAGACCACACCATTGCACTCCAGCATGGGTGACACAGTGACACCCCACCTCAAAAAAATAAAATAAAAAATCCAAATCAACAGTTTCAAGGCATATTTTTTTCTGCCTCACTAGTGAGTTCCTCCAATAGGGATGCTATACAAAGCTAATTAAATTATAATTTAAACTTGCTTAGGGGGCGAGGAGCATAGTTCAAAATAAATAGTCTCTTCTCTTTTTTTTTTTTTTGAGACGGAGTCTTGCTCTGTTACCCAGGCTGAAGTGCAGTGGCGCGATCTCGGCTCACTGCCAGCTCCGCCTCCCGGGTTCACGCCATTCTCCTGCCTCAGCCTCCTGAGTAGCTAGGAGTATAGGTGCCCGCCACCATGTCCGGCTAATTTTTTGTATTTTTAGTAGAGACGAGGTTTCACCGTGTTAGCCAGGATGGTCTTGATCTCCTGACCTCGTGATCCACTCGCCTCAGCCTCCTAAAGTGCTGGGATTACAGGCGTGAGCCACTGCCCCGGCCATAAATAGTCTCTTCTTGACCATGCACTCACTTGGCTACTAGGTAGCTTATGGCTACCATATTCCTCTTCCCCTCTACAAACACACCCACTCCAGCACTCTTCTGAAGCATGGTTACTCATGGGTCTACAGCCCAGTGCCAGTCTGCAACTGTTAATGGCATTTAATGAAATAAGTACAAGGTTTGAGACTAAGTGCATTACAGCAATTAAGAGTTCATTTACATATATATATATTTTTTTTTAGATGGAGTCTCGTTCTGTTGCCAGGCTGGAGTGCAGTGGCGTGATCTCGGCTCACTGCAACTTCCAACTCCCTGGTTCAAGCGATCCTCCTGCCTCAGCCTCCCAAGTAGCCTTTTTTTCCTAGCTTATCAATCAGAACAGAGTAAGTATTTTCAGTTCAGAGGTGGTTTTGTTTTGGTTTTTTTGTTTGTTGAGAGGGAGTTTCGCTCTGTTGCCCAGGCTGCAGTGCAATGGCGCGATCTCAGCTCACTGCAACTTCTGCCTCTTGGGTTCAAGCGATTCTCCTGCCTCAGCCTCCCAAGTAGCTGGGATTACAGGCATGTGCCACCACGCCCAGCTAATTTTGTATTTTTAGTAGAGACAGGGTTTCACCACATTGGCCAGGCTGGTCTCAAACTCCTCTTAGGTGATCCACCCACCTCAGCCTCCAAAAGTCCTGGGATTACAGGCGTGAGCCACCGCATCCTGCCTTGTTTTGGTTTTTTTAAGAGATGGGGGGTCTTGTTATGTTGCACAGGCTGGTCTCAAACCCCCAGTCTCAAGCAATCCTCCTGCCTCAGCCTCTTGAGCAGCTGGGACTACAGGCCTGAGCCACCATGCCTGTCTTCAAGTATTTTTAAATCATTACTTGGATTTTCCCATCATGTTTTAACTTTCCGTACCTAGCCAATTTCACCTCTGATCTTCCCAGGGCCTTTATCTAGAATACTCCTTTGGCTTCTCTTGCCATGGTTCCCTCTTCCTCATCCTTTAGGCCTCAACTTCAATGTCCTCTCCCACCCTACCTAAAGGAAATGACCTGTCATTCTCTATGTCAAGGCACTTGCCTTCTTGCAAGTTAACACAATGCATTACTATTACTATTTTCTTTATGCCCGTCAACTTGTCTTTCCGGGTGTCTCCCTCATGAGAATGTAGACCATGTATGGGTAGAGACCATGTCCATCTTGTTCACAGTTCTATCTCTGAGCCTAGCATAGTGGCCGGTACATAACAGGTACTCAATAGTATTTGCTTAATGAATTACCTAAAATAAGATATCTTTTTCACATCCCTTCAGAAATAAAGATCCTATGTAAATATTTCAATTAGCCATTCAAACTACCATTTTGTGAAATTACAAAGAATCCCATCTCTCACAACACAGTCATCCCCCAGCCCCAGAGACTCGCTATTACATGGATTCACAATACAGTCATCCCCCAGCCCCAGAGACTCGCTATTACATGGATTCACAATACAGTCATCCCCCAGCCCCAGAGACTCGCTACTACATGGATGACTCTGTGCTGACAACAGGTAGGGGGAGGGAGGAGATGAGGATGGAGGACGGGGGCATTTTGGAAGTAAATGGCAATGAAATGATAAAGGAGTGTGAAATAATCCATGTTCACCTAGATGTGCAACCCAATCATTTAGCTACTGTGTGCCTCAAGACAACAACGCATAATCTAGGTACCTTAAGGTGTAAGGTTATGTAAGGCTCAAAAGGGTAACAAATGTGAATCCCAGGTTAGGTTTCCAGGGCACCATGCTGTGACATTTCTAAACTTAGCACAGCTGCAATTTTACTTTTACTTGTGGGACTATATGGTTGATGTCTGTCTGCACTAGACCTGTTTATCATCCTTGCATTCTCACTGTCTAAAAGTACCTGGCTGGTAGAAGGTCCTCAAAATTACTTGTAAAATGAATGAACTGAAGCAGTTGGTAAATAGTAAAGCTATGTATGTATAAGCATTAACATCAGACATTTCAGAAATTAATTAATTCAACAAGTATTTAGTGAATGCCTTTAACTATGTGCCAACAACTATTCTAAGGCATTCAGAATGCATAACTGGACAAAACAGAGAAGATCACTACAGCTGACACTCTAGGAAGACAGGTAATGAAAACAAACACAGTAAGTATATTTGGAGGTGATAAATGATATGGAAAAAAGAGCAAGGGGTGAGGGGTAGGGCGGATACAAATAAATGGTCCTCCTAAGGTGGTTGCAGGGAGAAACAACCAAGAGCCCACTGTACTTTGTGCCAAGTAAGCAAGGCAGAGCTCCCATCTGCTTTCAGCAAAAGTGGAGGTCGGAGAGGGGCAGTGACCGCCAAAGAATACAGGGTCTCATAGGTCAAGATTTCTATTTCAATCTAATTAACTTTCTAATTAAACTGATACAGTAAATAGTTTGGAGTTGCCTCAAATCTTTTTTTTTTTTTTTGAGACGG